CGGCAACTGTACGCGGGCTATAGTTACTAGAGCTAGGACAATACCAACATGGAATGCACTACCACCTACTACTACTACCAAGACTGCTCCTGATGTGGTTTCATTCAAAAATTTAGTTAACAGCAGCAAAAAACCGTGACAAATTATTAGGTCATCCAAGCGATGCATGAAGCCATGAGGACCTGTACGTTTATAGCCACACCAGGCGATTAGTACAGTATCAGACAAGACAAAACAATACCTTTTTCCTACGTCGTCACAGTGCGCTGACCAATAAAGCATTCAAGTACGGTACTCAAGTTCAAGTAGTCATGTCACTCATTGTTTGACGTGGTGTCATTTCAAGTTTATAAACAAATACGTGTTCCTCGATCGATATCGACATTTGATGCGGATGCCATACCAGGTAGATAGCATCACCTTGTGCTACAGGCGTGTAATGATAATAATAGGAGATACATTAAGCGGTCACACTACGATAACATCGTTTACCTGTGTAGCAGCAATACGAAGTGCTGCGGTTCTAAAATGTTCTCCTTCCCTAATGTTTCCATACGGCAACCACCAGCCATTACTAGATTTGTGTCTGCGTAGGCAATAATGGTGATCACTTTCCCTGCGTATAAGCAGGCAAATAATTTCCTGATGATCGGCTATATCTAGGTCATTTTTAATATTTTCACAGGAATCTCGCTTCTTGGCAGCCATGACTATGTATTGGTACGGAAATAAACACGCACCTGCGCTTACGCAAGTAGGCCGGCTTCAATGAAGCAGATTTTATCAGTTATCGCCGGGAGATGTCGCCACGATGCTGCTACGGTAGCGCTGGCTGCTCTGCCCCTACAGACTGGACTGAGAAGTGAAAATACGTCTGTTGCAGAGGCCATATTTTGGTGTTAACGATCGTATATGATGTGTTCTCCGGAGCAGTACCATTGCTAAACTGTACGTTGCTATCGCTGGTTACTCGTTAAACATTGGATACTAGTTTACGCGTGTAACTACGAACGTGTTTACGTGTGACCATACCGTGCTTCTACTAGAATTACGACACTGTCACTGACAGATCTCCAGAGCTGCACAGTGTACATGTAGTGATGTACAGCAAGTACCGACATTAGATTTCGGTTTCCACATAGTAGTGTGTCGTGTGCGCGCGTGTGAATTCGCTGGTGGCATCTATAACAACTCAATCTCGAGTTCACTTATTGCACAAAGCTGCTAAATCTGTACACATCATATTCAATAATTCATACATGCGTTGCGTACGTTGCGCACGCTCTCGGGACCAGTGAGTACGGGAGCACTGATTAAAACAAGATGCGTTCTGTGGTGATAGTTTGAAGGCATATCGGGTGATCTACCTGGGTTGTATTGGCTCCTTGGGCTCGCGACAAGAGATATCTGTGCATCGACACTTTCCAGAATCTTGCTGGCCTTCGTAGAGATTGAAAAGGAACCAGAGCAGATGCTGGGTAAGCAGAAATCTGACCACCACCGTTGAGAGAGCATCAGGAGTCTATCAATAGAGATCTATCTGATAGTGATAGACTCCTGATAGCATGCCACTGTTCTCTTCTCGGTGGGCACTGGTTGCATGTGTAGCATTTTACTTGGCTCTAGAACTATAGTATAGTCCTTCGCTCTGCCACAGGCCTAGCTCTAGTCTTATACTCTAGTACTATAACTCTTTACTGTGCCACAGGCCTTGGTGACACACCCGAACGCCTCCTTGGCGCCCCACTTGTGACATAGTGCGGGTTAGTGGCAGGTTAGCTCCAAGAAACGGTATTGCTAGGTTTAGAATACCCCTAGCACTGGGGCAAGCCCTAGCACTTAGAATTAATACCCCTGGCAAGTGGGTCTGGATGCCACTTGTCTTGAGGGGACAAGTGGCATCCAGGTAAATATCCAGGTAAATATATATCCCTTGCTTCCGCTGTTGCTTCCTCCTTGTTCGACCCTCTTCTCTCCCGTCCCTTTGTCCATGATTCATTTCACTCTTTTTCATTCTTCTCCTCTCTCCTCTCCTCTCCTCCTCTGTTCTCATATACACTCTTTCCTCTCCTCTCCCCTCCTCTCCTCTCCTCTCCTCTCCCCTCCTCTCCTCTCTCTCTACTCTTCCTATCTCTCCTCTGCTCTGCTCTCTTGTCCCATCTCCTCTCCTCGCATATCTTCATGTCTCTCCTATCTCCTTTCATCTCCTCCGCTCTGGAATTCATCTTCTCTCCTCTTCCCCCCCCCCACCACTGAATTAACTCGAGGTCAAGCAAGGTTGCATGTAGGGTTTGCACGCCGCTATGCCGTCAGACAGTGCTCACTTGGCCATCATTTCGGAGTGGTCAGCGACTCAGCATCCTTCGGCCCTGCCATTACCGCGTGCTTCGCATATTACGTCCGATTCCGCATCCGCCTTTGCGGATAACGAGCGTGGCTTCGCCCGCGCGCTCGCACACAATCGCTGATCAGGAGGCTCCGGGTTTGTTTGCTCTCCCCCTCTCCCACCCCACCGCCATGCGTTCTTCGTTAATTGTGTCCATATCGGGGCACGGGGGGGGGGGGGGTATCAGGCCACGACCGACCACCACAGTGCATCCTTCGTTAATTGTGTCCGTCTTGGGGTGCATTGGGGGGTGCTATATTGGGCCACGACCCACCACCACAGTGCGTCCTTCCTTAATCGTGGCCGTCACAGGGCGTGCGGGTGGTGGGGGGGTGGTATCAGGTCACGACGCGCACACGGTCAGACGACACTCGCGTCGCGCGTCGCGCTGCCTTTCGTTCGTCCCCGCGAGGTCGCCATCTTGCAGGAGAGTCGGACGCGTGCGCGGCAGCATGTTCTGGGTCACGGACAGCGGGGGCAGCGAGGTTGCCATCTTGCAGGAGAGTCGGATGCGTGCGCGGCGGCAGCATGTTCTGGGTCACGGACAGCGGGGGCAGCGAGGTCGCGACAAGTGAGCATCCTTCGCCTTCCGTTTGTCCCTGCGAGATTGCGGCATGGAAGAGCAGGACGCACGTACATTCCGGGTCGTGGACCGCAGGGACAGCGACGGCACGACAAGTGAGCATCCTCCGCCGCGATCGAGACATTGCCGGAAGCATCGGTGAAGAGTCCTCGCTGTGTGACGGCTCCGAATTCGCGAAAAGGTTGTGGCCGAGTGTTCGCGCATGTACCCGAGGGTCGACGCTTTATCAAAGGTCGAATTTCGATATGAAAGGTTGAGCAGAGGTCAATAACTGGGGGGGGGGGATGTTTTAAAGGTTGTGAATAAATCTGATATGTTGATTAAGGGTATCTAGAAGGGGATCATGGCAGGGCAAATTTATAAACGAAAAGTCAATTAGAGGATGTGAACCAAAAGGTGGCTCTTGAAAAGGTCGAATCTGAACAAACGACAGGCCCACCAGAAGGCGTTGTAGCGGGGACAATGACAGGGCTGCTGTGTTTCGCATTCTATGTATAAAATACATGTTATTGTTGCACTCTGCCGAAGTCGCGGGGCTATGCGATTCGTTTTCGAGCGCCTGCAAAACGGCGTCGCGTCGTCACGGAGACCACAAAGCCGCATTCGCGAGAATCCCCCTTCCATCCCCTCCCGGATTTATCCCGAGGATCGTAATCTGCCGCCGCCGCCGCGCACGTACGCCGGTGAATTATTGATTGGTAATCTCGTGGAATACGGGGTGCGCTGCCGCAATCGCGGGGCGATCGCGCGGCCAATCGTCGCCGCTTCAGACGCGAGCTCAGATTACGCTCGAAGCGCGAGGGATCGTACCGGGGGAGGGGGGGGGGAGCCGCGTTCGTAACGATCTCAATGATTGCATCCGAGAAAATGATAAATGATGCGAGTGGGGGGGGGGAGAGGCAGAGTACGGACGCATGTAGGAGTAGGGGGCTCATTTTGCCGACGTACAGTAAAGCCCGGCGCACACGTAGCGATTTTTAGCTCACCTTGACAAAAATGGGGGCAGCATAAATGGATTTTATATTTATAATATTATCTCATTTTTTAGTAGTTTAACAAATTCATGGTCTTTGAGTAATGAGTTATTAAATTTCCAGTATCCTTTTCCGTGCTCTTCAAAAGATGTGTTAACAGTAACATTCACGGGAGCATGGTCCGATTTATACTTCGGGAGAATATACGCATCTGAAAAAATTGATAATAGATTCTCAGTGACCAGAAAGAAGTCTAGTAAGAGTGCCATTTTAATAGGGTTTATTTTTGACCATGTAAAATGTTGATCATTTTCATGGAATGCTCTCCATATGTCTACTAGACCCTTCTCTGTCATACCTGACAAAACAAGGTTACGTGCTCTGGGGTTATTAACCGCTTTATAGTTAAAAAGGTATTTTTCCGAATCTATAACTAAGTTCCAATCTCCGCATAGGATGTAATTTACGTTACCAAAATCTTCAATAATGTTATATATTTGTATAAAATTCAGGGTTGTCATTAGTGATGTCACGATCATCGATTATACTCGATCATCGGTTGAACAGTGGCTCGAACCAAGCGCTTAGTGATGTCACGATCATCGATTATACTCGATCATCGGTTGAACAGTGGCTCGAACCAAGCGCTTGGTTATCAAAATCCATAATCGATTTCATCAAAAAAAAAAATTTTGAACAAGAAAACTTGGAAAAGTGATGAGAATCAGTACATGTATTATACACACAGTAGTAAATAGTGCAAAACAAACAGAAAACTTTCTTTTTTTTTGATGAAATAGATTATGGATTTTGATAACCAAGCGCTTGGTT